GGGTCGATCAGAAATCCAATATGGCCACCACGGCTGCCATTTTGGAAAACTATTTCAAACTTAAAGTAAAGATCTACTTGGCCGATTGAACTGAAACTTTGTAGGAATGATCGAATCATGGTCCTGACAAAGTGTTGTTATTTTTCGGGTCAATCAGAAATACAATTTGGCTGCCATGGCCGCTATTTTGCTACTAAGTTCTAATAGGCCGATCTCACTTAAAATTGGTCTAGGAATGATCAGCTCATGGTCCTGACAAAGTTAAGTTAACATTATACTATTTTTTACTCAAATTGGTACATATTTCAACAACAAAAATAAATACTATAGACTCAGGTGACCGTTAAGGCCCATGGGCCTCTTGTTCTGATTAGGATGTCCATCTGACTATATAGTGTAAATAATTTTAAACAGGTTATGTTTACTTATGAACAATGCTAAACTGTACTAAAAACAAAATGATTTAAAAGCATGTGATTTGCATCAAAAAAGCAATGGAGTGGGGGAATGCATTTAGGAGCCGTTATAACATTGATATGTAGGTCTGGGGGGTTTCTTTCCAACAGTCAGCAGTCAGGGTGGGGGTGGGGGGCTAATATTTTGTGATACCTTGTTTCTGTTGATGTATTTGATAAATGTATTTGATCAAACTTAAACCTTCTGTGAACAGAAAGAGATGGAACAGCAGAGACAGGATGGTCAGACAGATTACTGGTTGGTGCAATATCAGCGACTCATGGATAAGAAACCCCAGGCACTTATAGATCAGGTAATACATGTGTTCTAATGTGTAATGTAGCCATGCAGTACTAGTATTCAATTCTATAAAGGTTTGTCATATTTATTAATATAAACTATACTTTGTTTTTCTTTTTTAACCCACCATCTTCAGATGTGGCAGTAAGGATCAACGATTGTTCGATAGTTGTATAACTGGTTAGTTACGTTTTAGTATTTGTTTCGTTCATCATTCCTTCCTTGGTAATTTTCAGGAGCGACAGCTTGAGATTGCTGTGGTGACTATTCTCGAGGATTCCTCTGCTGATGACTACATCCCACTGTTTGCTCGCCATAGAATCACCATAGAAACACTGCTACAATTGTCCGAAGATGACCTTAAACAGGTTTGTGGCAGAAATAGTACTTTTTAAAGCTAGTACTCTATTAAAGCGTCCAAAAAATGAAACTTTGACTACCAGATATATGTAGTATTTAAAACAAAACATTGTTAATATGTTTCTATTATAACAAGCAAACTTGATGTAGAATTTTAGTTTGAGAATTTCTTATGCTGATGGACTTTGTCAAAGAATCATTTTTGGCAATGATAATTGCAAAAATGAAAAACCTTGCTTGCGTACAGGTATGTCAGATATAAAACACAGCAATATAGTGCTAATGAAATGCATCTGCATGCTTTGAACTTTTTCCCTCGTCAGCTCCTAGATTGGTTTCTATTATTAGCTCACCTGGCACGAAGTGCCAAGTGAGCTTATGCCGTGGCGCGGCGTCCGTCGTCCGGCATCAATATTTTACTTTAAACGACTTCTTCTTAACAACCGAAAGGCCTAGGGTGTCGATATTTGGCCAGAAGCAAACTGGGATAAAGGGCTACGAAGTTTGTTAAAAGTAATGACCTTCACCCATTTTCAAGGTCACAGGGGTCAAATATGTTAAAAACTTTAAACATCTTCTTCTCGATAACCAAACTGCCCTGGGAGATGATATTTGGCCAGTAGCATGCTTGGGTGAAGGGCTACCAAGTTTGTTCAAATGAATGACCTTCTCCTATATTCAAGGTCACAGGGGTCAATTGTCTTAAAAAACCGTCAAAAAAATTCTTCTCAATAACCAAAATGCCCAGGGTGATGATATTAGGCCAGTAGCATGCTGAGATGAGGGGCTACAAAGTTTGTTCAAATGAATGACCTTCATCCATATTCAAGGTCACTGGGGTCAAATATGTTAAAAACTTTAAACAACTTCTTCTCAATAACCAAAATGCCAAGGGTAATGATATTTGGCCAGTTGCATGCTAAAATAAAGGGCTACGAAGTTTGTTAAAAGTAATGACCTTCATCCGTTTTCAAGGTCACAGGGGTCAAATATGTTAAAAACTATAAACAACTTCTTCTTACTAACCAAAATGCACTGGGTGTTTATATTTGGCCAGTAGCATGCTGGGATAAAGGGCTACCAAGTTTGTTCAAATACATGACTTTGATTTATATTATAGGTCACAGGGGTCAACCCCGCTAAAAACTTTAAACAACTTTTTCTGAATAACCAAAATGCACAGGGTGATGATATTAGGCCAGTAGCATGCTGAGATAAAGGGCTACAAAGTTGATTCAAATGAATGACCTTCACCCAAATTCAAGGTCACAGAGGTCAAATATGTTAAAAACTTTTAACAACTTTTTCTCAATAACCAAATTTCCCAGGGTAATGGTATTTGGCCAGTAGCATGCTGGGGTGAAGGGCATAACCAAAATGCCCAGGGTGATAATATTAGGCCAGTAGCATGCTGAGATAAAGGGCGACAAAGTTTGTTCAAATAAATGACTTTCATCCTTTTTCAAGGTCACAGGGGTCAAATATGTTAAAAACTATAAACATCTTCTTCTCAATGACCAAAATGCCCAGTGTGATGATATTTGGCCTGTAACATGCTTGGCCAGTAGCATGCTGGGATGAAAGGCTACCAAGATTGTTCAAATAAATGACCTTGGTTTATATTCAAGGTCACAGGGGTCAAATATGTTAAAACCTTCAAACAACTTCTTCTGAATAACCAAAATGCCCAGGGTGATAATATTAGGCCAGTAGCATGCTGAGATAAAGGGCTACACCAAAATGCCAAGGGAAATGATATTTGGCCAGTAACATGATGGGATGAAGGGCTACAAAGTTTATTCGAATGAATGACTGCCCTGGGAGATGATATTTGACCAGTAGCATGCTGGGATGAAAGGCTACTAAGTTTGTTCAAATACATGACTTTGATTTATATTATAGGTCACAGGGGTCAATTATGTTAAATTCTTTAAACAACTTCTCAATAACCAAACTGCCCAGGGAGATGATATTTGACCAGTAGCATGCTGGGGTGAAGGGCTACCAAGTTTGTTCAAATAAATGACCTTGGTTTAAACTTTAAACAACTTTTTCTGAATAACCAAAATGCCAAGGGGAATGATATTTGGCCAGTTGCATGCTAAAACAAAGGGCTACGAAGTTTGTTGAAAGTAATGACCTTCTTCCGTTTTCAAGGTCACAGGGGTCAATTATGTTAAATTCTTTAAACAACTTACTCTCAATAACCAAAATGCCCAGGGTGATAATATTAGGCCAGTAGCATGCTGAGATAAAGGGCGACAAAGTTTGTTCAAATAAATGACCTTGGTTTAAACTTTAAACAACTTATTCTCAATAACCAAAATGCCTAGGGGTATGATATTGAACCTGTAGCATGCTGAGATAAAGGGCTACACCAAAATGCCAAGGGCAATGATATTTGGCCAGAAGCATGCTGGGATGAAAGGCTACTAAGTTTGTTCAAATACATGACCTTCACCCATATTCAAGGTCACTGGGGACAAATATGTTAAAAACTTTAAACATCTTCTTCTCAATGACCAAAATGCCCAGTGTGATGATATTTGGCCTGTAACATGCTTGGCCAGTAGCATGCTGAGATAAAGGGCGACAAAGTTTGTTCAAATACATGACCTTCACCCATTTTCAAGGTCACAGGGGCCAATTGCCTTAAAAAACCGTCAAAAAAATTCTTCTCAATAACCAAGAGGCCTAAGGTGATGATATTTGGCCAGTAACATGCTGCATATTCAAGGTCACAAGGGTCAAATATGTTTAAAACATTTAAACAACTTCTGAATAACCAATAGGCCTTGGGTGCATAAATTTGGCCAGTAATATGCTGGGATAAATGGCTACCAAGTTTGTTCAAATACATGACTTTGATTTATATTCTAGGTCACAAGGGTCAAATATGTTTAAAACATTTAAACAACTTCTGAATAACCAATAGGCCTTGGGTGCATAAATTTGGCCAGTAATATGTTTTAAGATAACAAGTGTGAGATTAATTCCAGGTGAGCGAAGCAGGCCCATTTAACTTGTTCTTATCATCACAATATTGTGAATACCCTAATCAAAAGGCCTAGGGTGATGATACTTGGCCAGAAGCATGCTGGGATGAAAGGCTACCAAGTTTGTTCAAATACATGACTTTGATTTATATTCTAGGTCACAAGGGTCAAATATGTTTAAAACATTTAAACAACTTCTGAATAACCAATAGGCCTTGGGTGCATGAATTTGGCCAGTAATATGTTTTAAGATAACAAGTGTGAGATTGATACCAGGTGAGCGATGCAGGCTCATTTAACTTGTTCTTATTATCACAATATTGTGAATACCCTAATCAAAAGGCCTAGGGTGATGATATTTGACCAGTAGCATGCTGGGATAAAGGGCTACAAAGTTGATTCAAATGAATGACCTTCATCCATATTCAAGGTCACATGGGTCAAATATATTTAACACCTTTAATCAACTTCTTCTGAATAACCAATAGGCCTTGGGTGCATAAATTTGGCCAGTAATATGTTTTAAGATAACAAGGGTGAGGTTAATACCAGGTGAGCGATGCAGGCCCATTTAACTTGTTCTTATTATCACAATATTGTGAATACACTTAATCAAAAGGCCTAGGGTGATGATATTTGGCCAGAAGCATGCTGGGATGAAAGGCTACCAAGTTTGTTCAAATAAATGACCTTGACTTATATTCAAGGCCACAAGGGTCAAATATGTTTAAAACCTTTCAACAACTTCTTCTGAATAACCAAGAGGCCTAAGGTGATGATATTTGGCCAGTAACATGATGGGATGAAGGGCTACCAAGTTTGTTCAAATAAATGACATTGATTTATATTCAAGGTCACATGGGTCAAACATGTTTAAACCCTTTCAACAACTTCTTCTCAATAACCAAGAGGCCTAAGGTGATGATATTTGGCCTGTAACATGCTGGGATGAAGGGCTACCAAGTTTGTTCAAATACATGACTTTGATTTATATTCTAGGTCACAGGGGTCAAATATGTTTAAAACCTTTAAACAACTTCTTCTGAATAACCAAGAGGCATAGGGTGATGATATTTGGCCAGTAACATGCTGGGATAAAGGGCTACCAAGTTTGTTCAAATAAATGACCTTGGTTTATATTCAAGGTCACAGGGGTCAAATATGTTTAAAACCTTTCAACAACTTCTTCTCAATAACCAA